CGCATATCCTTTGCCCACATGCTCGTTGTTTGACTTATTTTTATTGGCAGATTTTCTCTCGTCGCGTGATTTTTCCTTGTTAGTTTTTGGCTCCCGTCCTTCTTAAAGGTTTCTTGTGACCCTCTCTGCTTCCTAGGTGTCTACATATTTGTTTCCCTTTTTCAACAGATCATGCATTGACTCCTAGGGCTTTTCGAGAGTGACATCTTAAAGGCTCGATTCTGGGTCCCATTCAACAGTGCAGTGACTATCGAGCTTAAATAGAGTGTGATTGATTTTTTTGTTTTTTATTTTTTTTTTGGAAATGAAGAAAATGGAGTGATTCAAGAGGAAATTATATCGGTTACATAATTGAATTCTGGAAATATTCCATTTTTATTTCCTCAAAAATGGCTAATTGACATGAATGAAATAAATCAAGTTAATTGATATGATAGAGTAAAGATATGTTTGCTTATTTTGGACATAAATCTTTTATAAGAGAAGACAAAAAATTTCAAAATCTCGCAGTAAAATAATACCAGCTTGGATAAGTTTTATGATAGACATAGTAAAGACTCGTTGGCATGCCAATGTTTAGTTTGAGAAAATATAAAATAAACCACAGGTCGACAACGTGGTCCCTATGGAAGTGAGAATACATGTTCTTGTCTCTCTTGTTAGTGGATGCCACCATTGGCTTCAACTAGTCGAGCTCTTTCATGTCCCGAATTTCCATTAATAAAATAAACCACAGGTCGACAACGTGGTCCCTATGGAAGTGAGAATACATGTTCTTGTCTCTCTTGTTAGTGGATGCCACCATTGGCTTCAACTAGTCGAGCTCTTTCATGTCCCGAATTTCCATTAATAAAATAAACCACAGGTCGACAACGTGGTCCCTATGGAAGTGAGAATACATGTTCTTGTCTCTCTTGTTAGTGGATGCCACCATTGGCTTCAACTAGTCGAGCTCTTTCATGTCCCGAATTTCCATTAATAAAATAAACCACAGGTCGACAACGTGGTCCCTATGGAAGTGAGAATACATGTTCTTGTCTCTCTTGTTAGTGGATGCCACCATTGGCTTCAACTAGTCGAGCTCTTTCATGTCCCGAATTTCCATTAATAAAATAAACCACAGGTCGACAACGTGGTCCCTATGGAAGTGAGAATACATGTTCTTGTCTCTCTTGTTAGTGGATGCCACCATTGGCTTCAACTAGTCGAGCTCTTTCATGTCCCGAATTTCCATTAATAAAATAAACCACAGGTCGACAACGTGGTCCCTATGGAAGTGAGAATACATGTTCTTGTCTCTCTTGTTAGTGGATGCCACCATTGGCTTCAACTAGTCGAGCTCTTTCATGTCCCGAATTTCCATTAATAAAATAAACCACAGGTCGACAACGTGGTCCCTATGGAAGTGAGAATACATGTTCTTGTCTCTCTTGTTAGTGGATGCCACCATTGGCTTCAACTAGTCGAGCTCTTTCATGTCCCGAATTTCCATTAATAAAATAAACCACAGGTCGACAACGTGGTCCCTATGGAAGTGAGAATACATGTTCTTGTCTCTCTTGTTAGTGGATGCCACCATTGGCTTCAACTAGTCGAGCTCTTTCATGTCCCGAATTTCCATTAATAAAATAAACCACAGGTCGACAACGTGGTCCCTATGGAAGTGAGAATACATGTTCTTGTCTCTCTTGTTAGTGGATGCCACCATTGGCTTCAACTAGTCGAGCTCTTTCATGTCCCGAATTTCCATTAATAAAATAAACCACAGGTCGACAACGTGGTCCCTATGGAAGTGAGAATACATGTTCTTGTCTCTCTTGTTAGTGGATGCCACCATTGGCTTCAACTAGTCGAGCTCTTTCATGTCCCGAATTTCCATTAATACCTTAGCCATTGGAGCATTTAAAGGGATGAAGGCTTTTACCTCTTCTAATCTTTGCTTGATTGATCGATCCTGCGCATATCCTTTGCAAACATGCTCGTTCTTTGACTTATTTTTATTGGTAAATTTTCTCTCGTCGCGTGATTTTTCCTTGTTAGTTTTTGGCTCCCGTCCTTCTTAAAGGTTTCTTGTGACCCTCTCTGCTTCCTAGGTGTCTACATATTTGTTTCCCTTTTTCAACGGATCATGCATTGACTCCTAGGGCTTTTCGAGAGTGACATCTTAAAGGCTCGATTCTGGGTCCCATTCAACAGTGCAGTGACTATCGAGCTTAAATAGAGTGTGATG